TTTAACTCGGTTTTTGGTAGATTTTTACGTGACTAACATAAGGCTACTGTGGAAGTGCCCATTTTGGTTACGACATTCGTTTATAACGACACTATTTTTAGGTCCCTTTGATGACGTTATAACCAAGTTCTACTGTAATTCATACCACGTCACAGTTCTTTTGTATCTCTTTGTGTTTATATTGCAATATCAAGTGTTAGCTCTACACATAGAAGTAGAACAATTATTTGTTTATTACAAAGGCTCTTCTTTGCCCAGACTTAAGCCATGAGCTCAAAAGTTATTATAGTAAATTTTGGTCATGAAAGCTGGTGACATCTGTCATACAAGTCAAGATTATAGATGCATGCACTATGTTGTATGAAATTAGGGTGACCACATATCTTGTTTGTAATGCAGTTTTAAAAATCTAACATTGTTGAGGCATATAAAAATGCAGATTAGCTGTTCTGTTGAATATCTGGGTGTCTGTTAGATTTGCAGTGTTCATTCAGGTGTCAGCTGTTGTGTTTCAGCGCTATTCTGAACATGTAGATGACTTTTATGAAATCTGAAAGTAAGACTTCATGTAGATATCAATCAGATTGAATGTTATCTATAATTTTACAGGAAAACCTAAATGTGTTTATGAATAAATGACCCTGAATATTGTAAGCCTTAAAATAATGTTAGTCAAACATCAGCATTTTAATAAGACGGGTAGTGTATTTTATGTGTATTATTAATGAATACGTGGATACAGAATGTGCCTATTTGTGTGATGCTGGGGAGACTGAAAGAAAAGGTGGTATTGACCAAGCATACACAGTGTGTCCAGGTTCTGTTGGGACTGTGTTCATTAAAAATACAAGACGTGAATTATTTTCAAAATTTCACTCTTTTTATTCAAAATAGTCTCCTTCTGAATCAATACATAGCTGGAATCAATTGAGAAGTTTTCAAAAACAGTCACTGTACTCCTTTTGTGGAAATGCATTTAAAACTGCTGTAGATTCCCTTTGGATGTCTTGGATTGTGTCGTAACAGTCTTCTTTCATCGCCAACTTAACTCTTGGGAACAACCAGAAATTTGCTGGAGCCAAATCTGGCAAATATGGAGGATGATCAAGGACTGTGATCACTTTTCTGGCCAAAAAATTGCGCACAATCTTCGATTTGTGGGATGGGGCATTGTCGTGGAGGAGTGACTGGGAACCTTGCTCCTCATATAGAGGTCGAATTCAAAGAATTCTCGCCCACAAATGATTGAGGACTCTGAGATAATAATCAGAATTCACTGTTTGACCTTCTGGCAGAAATTCCTTGTGAAAGATTCCTTTAGAATCGAAGAAAACAGTTAGCAGTGTCTTTACTCGACTCTTTTGCATGCTAACTTTCTTTGGTTTCGGCTTCTTTGGGCTCAACCACGCTGCACTCTGCCACTTTGTGATAGGCTCATATTGAAAACACCATGTCTCATCACCAGCAACAATCGAGTTTGTAAATTTTTTATCACTTTGGGCCAGCCGTAACATATCTTTGCAGTGTTCCACTCTGGCATGTTTTCCATCGCGTGACAGCGTATGTGGTACAAATCGCGCACACACCCTCTGTTTGCCCAAACCCTCGCTCAGAATTTGATGCACAGTACTTTTTGGTATTCCCAAAAGCTCCTCGATGAGTCTTTCAGAAACACATCTGTCTGATGCAAGGATTTCAGTCACTTTTTTCACATTTTTTTCAGTGCGACTTGTTCTCAGCTTTGATGCGGGTGGAATGTCTTCAGTGTCCTCCCTGCTGTCACGAAATACAGCATACGATCGAAAAATGTTCAAGCGACTCAAACAATCACTACCGTACACACTTTTCATCATTTCATATGCTTCTCCGGCTGTTTTGCCTAATTTCAAACAAAATTTGATGTTGGCTCTCTGTTCAACCACTATTTTCTGACGAGCATCAGAACAGTACTCTTACAAAAAAATTTTGGTCCAGAAGCTCTGAGAATATCATTTGGGAGATCTAAACATAGGTACTAAGGTAATTTTAAAACAGATCTTAATAAGATCTGAGTGTAGACCAAGTACAGCGGTCTCAGGATAGGATCCAGTTGTAGTGAACTTAGAAATTAATTTTTGGGTTCCAGAAAAATGTGGAATTTTGTTGACTAGCTCATCAAAAATCAGTTGTTCAAAAAAGACTGCATGCTGAAGTTGGTTAGAACCATACCTTGCAGTTCCATTGTCCCCAGCTTCATGTGAATTGGCTTTATCTCTTTTGCTTTCAAAATCTGGTCATCGTGTTACATATGATTGCATTGTCTTAGAAGTTAATTAGAACTTAATTTTATGGAATAAGTATTTCCAGTTTTTTTATGCTCATATGCCCTTTCTATTCATAGTGTAACAAACATCAAGACAGTGATTGAGACTAGCACTGTCCAAGGGGCTTAACTGCATAGGATCCTTCCAGTTTTACACCTCATGATGGAAGTAGATTCAGCTTCCAAAATGTTATATAATTTTAAATTCAACTAAGAGAGTGAACAGGTCCAACATAATTTCATGATTAATAACAGACCTTTGGAGGATCATAAGGACATGTTGAATGTAGTAGTTATTTACTGCATGGTTACCTACACAGCTTTTGCTATAACAGCATGTCTCTACTCTTTTCACATGGCTGTGTCATAGCTCAAGTGGTTAGTCACTGGCTTCTCACCGCGGCAGCCCAGGTTCGATCCAGGGTCAGGTCAAGTGGGATTTGTGGTGGACAAAGTAGCACTGGGGCAGGTTTTCTCCAAGTACTTCGGTTTCCTCTGCCAATCTTCATTCCACCATTTGCTCCACAATCACCCCCACCTATCATCTTGGGCTGGTACAATAGGCCAGAAATGGCCGCAGTACAAGGGACTTAGTCCCACCCCACTGGCAATAAAAAAAATACTCTTTTCATTGAAGTAACATGATCTGGCAGGTAACATCTATCCCTCTTTTCACCCTTGGTATGTTTTTAATTGTTTTAGGCTACTCTGTTTCATAAATCAAGTGATGGTTATTTTTAAATGTATGTAACTTGCTAGTCTCAGAAAGAGAGACCAGCACAGTAATGCTGATGATGAAGTTGCACTACCATTTATAAATTAATGTAAGTGTGAACGTACATATCCATGCATATTAGGGTGGAAAGGGGTATGCAAAGCATTTGGTGTATCTTTCAACTAATAACTGTTTCACTAACTCTGTTGCATTACTTCTGTTCTATGCTTTCCTTTTCAATGCAGACGAGCAACAGTTAAGACAACTTCTGCTTCTAACATCCCTATTCTAGTCAAAGGACGTTATAGGTAATGTCTTTGATTCCCTTCACAACAGCTTTAAGTTAACTGTGTATGCTTTCAGTTTTAATTTCAGGAATTGGCCACATTATCGTATTGAACTCAGAACTCAGGTCACATCATATGATACTGATGTTTAAAAAATTCTAGACCATTTTATGTAAAATGGTTGAGACAGTAATCAGACACATACCAGATGATGCAATATTAGAAATTATAAGTTTGCATAATACAAGGTGGTTCAGATATGACCAGGACTGATTTTTTTTTTAAACCATAATTGCCAAACACTTATGTCTGTCTTCAACAAAGGCTTGTGGTTGGCAGTGTATCCACTCCCAAACAGTCTGGATAACAGCGTCATCCACAAACCGCATGCCTTGCAAATCTGATTTGAGCCTTCCAAACAGGTAGAAATCACTTGGGGCCAAATCGCGACTGTATGGCGGATGTGTCAGAAGGTTCCATTTCAATTTTCAGAGGGTTTCCATTGTTCTTTTGGCCATATGGGGGCGTGCATTGTCTTGAAGGAAGGCTACCTGTGTTCCGCTTGGATCGGTTCTTTTCCTTCACGTCTGTTGCCAGGAGGTCTGAGTAATAAGCTGCATTGATAACCCCCTGCCAGTCTCAGAAGAACGTTGCCATCACTTTTCCTGCCAAACGGCTTCCTCCGTGCTCTCTTGGGTTTGGGAGAACTGGTATGCCGCCACTCGTGTGATGATTGCTGGGACTCAGGAATGAAGTAGTGCACCCACGTTTCATCGGGGGTCACTATAGACTTCAAAAATGCATCACCTTCATCTTCAAACTGCTGTAGGAGATGACTGGCAGCTTGCATGCGCACCATTTTTTCATGTCCGTCAAAGTGTGTGGTACCCACCATGCATTCACCTTGCAATAGTGCAGGTGGTATTTCACGATGTCTTCTACACTACCAACACTGATGGACAGCATTGCTCCAAGTTTCTTGATAGTGATGTGCCTATTCTCACGAATAAGCATGTCTGCACGATCAATGTGTGGCTCAGTGACAGATGTTCGCAGCCAACGATCACGCGGTTCATTCTCCACATGCTCTCTGCTCTCTCTGAAGCACTTAGACCACTCAGACACATGGGTCTGTGAGAGACACTCTTCCCCCTGCTGTTGTTGGAATCTGTGGTGAATTTCAGCGAATGGGACATTTTCTCCAAGGAATTTGATCACAATTCATTGTTCCACGCACCGCAATACCTTCTGTTCGCTAATCACTCTAGCAACTCCCAGACAGGACCGAACAGGAGGGAGGGTGGAGGTTGTGGCTTCACTCTCTCAAGGTCATGCAGTGCGGCTTGTTTACACACAAATCAGTCCCGGTCATATTTGAACCACATTGTACCATACCATGATATGTATGTATGTGTGTATCTGATTTTTGTGATTAGTAAACAAAGAAGGGACTCTCCAAAATGAAGATTGATCATTATTAGAGGCATGTAAGTGTTAACGTGGAACTTCAAGTTAAAGAGAAAATGATAATCCAGATATTGAAATACGGAGCCTCTAGATGAAGTGAAAGTGACTTGCCATATATGGGTGGCCAACTCCTGTTTCTCTGTTATGCACTAACCAAACGGGAAGCTTTAACTTAACCACTTCCTTTATGGCAGATGTATAACTTTTTATAAAGCAGTAATTACTAATTATTATGTTTGTGGTAATTCCTATTGTTCTTGGCATTAAAGTCAACGCTATATGCTATTCAAAGAACGTGTATATATTTAAAATTTCTCTTTAAATAAATGCACATAGATTATGTGTGCGCACACGCATGCACTCATGTGCATGTAATGAATAAAAAATTTATCACTTCTGGAGAGAAGATGTCTGGTTTTACTCGTGAAATTTGTGCGTACTCTAAATTTTCACTGCAATCTACCTGATTGTGAAAATAACTTATTAGTATTGGGCAGTGATGGAAACATTCAGTTTTATGGCAGATTTATAATAATATGTTTATAATATTGTTAGTAAAGTTTATTTCTTTTATTCTTCCTCACCAAGGGGTGGGTAGCACTGGACATTTTGAGAATCCTTACCTAAATCAAGTAACCTCTCTCTCCTCTTTTAGAAATCGTACACCGTCTGGTTCCAGCACGCCTATTCCAAGTGGTGCCAAAGTGACAAGGAAGACATCTGGTGCTTCTGACATGGCTACAGGAACATCACGCAAGAGCTCTAAAGCTGCAACTCCAACTGAGTCACGGGTACCCTTCAGACTTTAAGGATCATGTGTGTCAACACACAAGCCATATGTAACCGACAAACCAAATCTCAAATCAAAATATCTTAGTTTCTTCAAGTTGCAAGGTGTGATTTGAAGCAGCAAGAATTTCACAGTAAATGACAGACTGACTTATCAGAGTAGAGATTCTCATTACATTTATTTATACTGATTAAAAGTTAGTTATTTTGTGGAACTTCAGTTACAGTCATCGCACCCATTCATTTCTGTAGTTGCTTTTACACCTTGGAATTGAAGAGCACAACACATTTGTTGTAATTCTTATGAGGGACCACTGTTTACTTTCTTTAAATGTCATTGGAAATGCCAGTGTGATTCTGCTGTCCCTGTAAGGAATGTAAGTTTTTGTTAATTGTTGGATGTTTTACTTTCTAAGATTATTTTTATACACCATTAGTCTTTGGTTTAAAATATAAGGTGGGGTGCATTTTTTCTTTAGTTACAATTAACTGTGCTAATAACACATTGTAACTGCAAGATATGTACACTGTAATGGTAAAGGAGCTGACACCTATAATAGTACACAGTTCCAAAATAGTAATAACAACAAATATGTAACAATATATTCTACTTCATCACACCTTTTATTTTGAACTTTATTCAGTTACAGAAACTTCATAAATACAGTGTAATTATTAATTTATAACTACATAATTTAACTACTTTGAAAATATGTAGAAGTTTGGTTTAGTTAACAAGATGAAACAATGCGGTTCTGGGGTTATATTTTCCATCTGTGTAAAATAAATGTGTGCCATCATTGTCTTGTTGTTAAGTTAACCAAACCTAATTTATTTGAAAACTTTAGGTAATATATCATATGTGCTTTAATTATACAGTTTTGTATACTCTTTACACAGTCATAGAGCTTATATATATATATAAAATTTTTTAACATTTTTAGTTTATTGCCACAAAGTCACTTTCTGTTCGCATACTTGTGATAATTTTAATTTAACTGTATATTAACATAATAATTGCAGATTATTTTTCACTTTCTATGTTTCCCAGCCTGTTTTATACATAAAATGCAATCATTGAGAACATAAAATAAGTTGTGATTTGTCGATTGATCGAGTATAACTGTGTGTGGTTGCTGTACATATTCCTAAAGTAACGTCCATAAAACTGTGAGAGGAAGAGAGTGTGTTAGTCAGGTTCTCTGTATAAATATTTGTTTTATTATATTTGAAGTATTATCATGGAAAAATATAAAGCACAAAAGAAGTGCATGTCAGTTCTACACATATATTTCTTATGTTTTGTAATATCTTTTCATACAGTAATTGTGCAATTATGTAAAACTTTTATCTAGAAGAAAAGGGCTGGCCAATAGTATTGTTAATAATTAGTGGAAGAACCAGCTTTTAGATTTATAATTACATTAATTTGGCCATTTAGTGTAAAATATTAAAGACTGCTGTTCCCATAAAGATGGAAGAAGTGCATGAATTTTTTGTCCAGACTTACTTTTGTACAAAAATTTGAATCTGTAGTGTGTATTCGATCGATCGAGCATTGCTATACATGCTAAAGAGAAAGTCCTGCAATATTGTAGCAGATGTAGATATATATGTTAACAAATTTGCTTATTAAATTCTCACACCTGAAGACATTATTTTATTGTGAGTGTCCTGCCATAATAGGTTTCAAGGTCATATGTCCTCATATGTCCCTGTGACCCACAAGGAAGACAACATGAAGAAGCTAAATACAACATAGTTATGTAGAAAAGTTGATGAGGTATGGTCATAAATGAACTGACTGCAGACAATGTGTGATTAGGCAGTCATTTTTTTCTCGGCAAGAAATTTCTATTTCTGAGTGACTGTAGGCCAGAGAGCATTCTGAGAATAATATGCTACAAGGAATTGGTAAGGAGCCAGGATAGCATAGACAACCAAGGGGTCAGAGTTGAAGTCCCAATAGGGTCAAGAATTTTCTCCACGTCATCCAGACCAGCTCTGGGGCCCACCCAATCTCCCATCCAATGGGTACCAGAGTTCTTTCTCTAGGGGTAAAAAGGCAGGGGCGTAAAGCTGACCACTCACCACCAGCTAGTGCTGAGGTCAAGAAAATATGGGTCTATACATCTAGTTATTTCATCATGTCGAAGGTTTCAAAATGGAGCAAAGAGCAGAGAATAAGTTTTGTCTAAAATTGAAGAAAACAGCTACAGAAACGTTTGAAGTGTTGAAAAGTGTATACAGTGAAGAATGTTTATTGAGAACAAGTGTGTTTGAATGGCATAAAAGGTTCAAAGAAGGGCAAAAGTTGTTGTAAGACCATCCTTCAACTTCCAGAACAGAAGAATTGATGGAAGTAGTTCAAAAGTGTTTGGCCAAAGATCAAACTTTTGAGTGTTCAGATGTTAGAAGAAATGAGAGGGATCAGTAAAGAGACAGTACGTAAGATATTAGATAAATATTTAAAAAAGAAAGTGGGAAAGTGGGTCCTGGTAACTTCTGCATGACAATGCACTGGCGAAATGAAGGATCCCCATATTATCACATCCACACTACACCCTTCATTTAACACCGACTGACTTTTTTTATTTCCTAAATTAAAAACTGTGATAAAAAGGATGAGATTTGAGGCTGTTTCATTGATCCAGCAGACTGTAACGAGAGAATTGAAACCAATACAGGAAGAAGTTTTTTCTTGGGCATTCGATTTGTTGTATGAGCGATATGCATGTTGTGCAGAAGCAAGTAGGGACTATATTGAATGATGGTCTTAACACATATTTTTGTGTGGTTTTTTTATGGCCTCAGTTTTCAGGAATTTAATTATCACACTTTATATAGAGCTTTAATGACTGCATTGTGTGTCAGGATATCTTTTGTCTGGGGTTCTCATTAAAAATTTATTTGGATTGAAGTTTATATGAATAATAAGATCCTTAAAGACTCCTGAAATTAAATGAATCAGTTTTAATTATTATGTGATGGTGTAGTTGTATAAACTGGTTATATAAAAATCCTGGTGTTAGGTGGTAAACTGTAGTATCATCATATTACCTATGTATATCCCCACACATTAAAGTTGGTATGACAGATTCCTTTCCTTACACATATTTTTATTTTCTTGATAGTTTGATTGTTTTGTACATTACTCTGATTTAGTTACAGCTATGCATTACATATTGCCAGACCAAGTAATCTCTTGTTGATACCGCCATATTGCAAATTTATAATAATATACTGAACTTCAATTAGCATTGTCTACGTTATATTTCTTGAACACAAACCCAAAATTGACATCAACACGTTTGTACGTGGTGCGTTTAAGTTCTACGGTCTCCGATTTTTTTCTCACACAATAATCATACAAAAAATTTGAAACTTCCGTCACTTTTCAACGTAATCTCCCTGTAGCCGTATGCATTTTTCACAACGTCGACGCCATTATTCCATGGCCGCTGCGAACGCTTCTGTAGGTGTCTGTTTTGACCACTGGAAAATCGCTGATGCAATAGCGGCACGACTGGTGAACATACGACCACGAAGAGTGTCTTTCTTCGTTGGGAAAAGCCAAAAATCGCTAGGAGCCAGGTCAGGTGAGTTGGGAGCATGAGAAACTACTTCAAGGTTGTTTTCACAAAGAAACTGCTGCATCGCATACGCCCGATGTGCTGATGCATTGGCCTGGTGAAAGAGCATACGTGCAGTCTTTCTGGCCGTTTTTCTTGCAGTGCTGGAAGCAGCTTGTTCTTCAAAACATCTTGGTAGAATGCACCTGTCACTGTAGTGCCCTTTGGAATGCAGTGAGTAAGGATTATGCCATCGCTGTCCCAAAACATGGCCACCATCATTTTTTGAGCACTGGCGCTAACCCAAAATTTTTTTGGTGGCGGTGAGTCTGTGCACTTCCATTGAGCTGACTGGCGCTTCATTTCAGGATTGAAAAATGGCATCCATGTCTCATCCATTGTCACAATTGATGAAAAGAAAGTCCCATTCATGCCTTCATCGCGTGCCAACATCGCCTGGCAAATTGCCATGTGCGCAGCCTTGTGATCGTCTGCGAGAATTCGTGGCACCCACCTGGAGGACACTTTCTGCATTCGCAGGTCTTAATGCAGGATTGTGTGCACAGATCCCATGGAAATGCCGACTTTGGAGGCGATGTTTTCCACACTCAATCGGCGATCCTCCAAAACAACTTTCTCAACTCGCTCGACCATGTTGTCAGACCAGCTGGTGCGAGGCCGAGATTGTTTTGGTTCATTGTCACATGACGTTTGGCCTGCTTTGAACTGTCGCACCCATGAATGCACATTTTTCACATTCATGACACCATCACCACATGTCTCACTCAACTGGCAATGAATTTCAATGGGTGTCGCACCACACAAGTGGAGAAAACGAATGATTACTCGCTGTTCTTGTAACGAAAAGTCACCATTTTAGGTATCAAAAACAATCCTCACTCACGCTGCCACCACTAGAGTTCTGTGTGCCGTACAGTGCTGCCATCTGTCACGAATTCACAAAGAGTGCACAAGTATTTTAAACTAAACTGCATGTGTCTATCTGCTCCCAGTCTTGAGAAAAAAAATCGGAGACCTTAGAACTTGAACGCCCCTCGTAATAGATGATTGGTATAGGCAGGAAAGTAGGGATAACTTAACAGCATTGATTTTGCAAGTTTGCTGTGCATTTTTGCAGAAAATAGTTCTTGGAAAATGATTACAGAACACTGAAAGATACATCTGAACAAAGTGACAGTTCCATGTTTCTCAGATTTAGTTTCACATACAGACCAATAACCTGCTGTTGCATCATTTTATATCCCTTCGTTGGACTCCATGACTTCTCTTGTAATTCCTGAAGATTTCCTTTTTGTCCTACCTCCCACCAGAACCCATAGCAAGACATTTGGCTCCTCCTTCACTGTAACAATTCCTTTCTATGCAGACAGTCCTCTCACCTCCTCACAAACTTTTGCAATCCAGCTGTGGCAAATTACATCCAACCATTTGCACTGGAATAAATCTTCTCCCTAAGCACTGTCAATTTGAATGCTTCTGCATGTTCCTGTGTGTGTATTTTCTTTCTCACTAATTGAAGTTGGACCAGAAAATTTAGTTGTTCATACTACTCTGTTTGTTTTGTTATTTTTACTTTATTGTTAAAAACTCTTGTTGTGAGCACCATTATATTTTTCAATTCACCGGTTTTAGTTAAGTAGCTACTTCGGTGATGGTCTTCTAGCATGTTTTTGGTAAAATTTGATATTTGTTGGCTGAGCTGTTTATTTTTTGGACTCTTATTTTAGTGGCTACCTGACATGTAAAATATTGCGTATTTACAAGAGCTTTGGGTCTCTACTTAAAAGTTATGGCCCATATTTAGTGTTGTGACATGACGGCTGAAAGCCAGAACAGTGGAACAAGAAGAGGCAGACAACAGTGATGCAACAATAGGAAACGTCAAATTTCCTATGCTGTCTGCTCCGTGTTCAACAGATTAATATCATGGGCATGTTCCAATGGCAGTTCGAGACCATGGCGGAGATCAATTACTTGATGCCACCCAAGAAAGCCACCCTGAATGAGCCAGCAGCCCCCATTCTCTATGACGTCCTTATTGAAGCGAAGTACGAAGAGGTTACCGAGGCACTTCAGAATTAATCTTTTTTAATTCACTAGTGGGAGGTGGAGTCCAGCTGGGTCCACTTGGCATGGCGGCCACTCATTGGCCTATTGTACCTGCACCGGGTGATTATGATGATGGAGAATTTGGTGGAATGAAGATTGGCAGAGGAAACCAAAGTACTGGAAGAAAGTCTGCCCCAGCACCACTTTGTCCACCACAAATCCCACTGAAAAAGAAGGACCCAGCTCACTGAGGAATCTCTGCAGGAGTGTGCCAACATTGGACTACAGGAACACCTGATTATTAATAGAAGCTGCCCATGCATTCACTGATGGGATAAGGGAGTGAACATATGACAACAGATATACTTGAAGAGTGGGCAACTGACCGACTAGAGCTGCCAAGAGTAAAATACAGTCATGAGTCCAGTGAGGCTCTGAACCAAGTCACCGTGCTGGTGATAGGCAGCGCCAATTTAGCACTCAAGTCAGTTGAGTCTAGGGTTGCCAGATTTTGTAAAATAAAAAAAGGAGTGATGTCTCGTTGCTTGTTTATAACATTTTTCACAACTAATAGGCTATAAAATGTACATAATCAATATACTTAATAACTTACAAAATGCTACTACACATTTATAGAACAAAACAAATATTACCTAGCCCTATTACATACTGTATTTATAGAATGCACAAAATATTACCTAGCACACATTTATAGAACACACATATTAAATACTACATATGACACTATCATCCAACATGGCGGCTGATAGGTTGTGGTTGGATTCTCGCTCTGAACAATTTAGATACGATCAGACTTACTATGGTGCTTTTAAATGTGATAATTGTGCGTCGCTGAAAGACCAGTTAAGGAAAGTATCATTAGAATTGAGTTCGTCTCAATATATAATCAAACTATTATATAAAGAGTTAAACGAAGTGTCGGCAGCATTTGAACCAGCGGGTGATGCAGTCGAAGAGAGGGGCGTTTGTGAAGAGTTGAACCAGCCTGCTACTTGGACGAAAGTTTTATCTAAGTCATCTAAATATCCAGGAGTGGGGAATGTGACAGTTGATCCTAGACAGCTGCACACTTGGCAACCAATTTCAGTTTCGAATAGATTTTCATCGTTNCATCATGTTAAAGTTAAAGAGAACACTTTGGTAATAGACTGGTGCTTCACACCATATGACCGGAAATAAGACTATTTTGCAAAATTATAAGATGCATGGTTCTAAGGAACATGAAATAACCCTTGCTGATGATAACATTACTCTGAGCAACAACTAACCTCTTCAAGCCATTATGTGAATGGAAATAGTTATGAGAATGACTGTAAAAATGATACACATATTAGTCGCATACCAACGCTTCTGAATGGCCAAGTATGTATTGAGAATAAGGATGAGAGCGATAATAAGGGAGGTATACAACTGTTATTTCGTGAAGCCACACGCAAGTTAATAGTTAAGAAAAACAGTTTTTCAAATAGTGGTGAGCATAAGGTTTTATTGATAGGGGACAGTCATATGCGTGGCTGTGCAGAGTACATGAAGACCTTTTTGGAACAGCAGTTCGAAGTGTGTGGTTATGTGAAACCTGGAGCCTCATCCAAGCTTGTATTGGAGTCAGCAAAAAGAGATACTGAAAAATTTACAATGGATGATTTTTTAATTTTGAGTAGCGGATCAAATGATGTTAATAATAACGACCTCAGGAAGGTTTTTTGTGAGATTACTGACTTTGTAAAAAGTGTTAATCACACTAATGTGGTTTTAGTACATATTCCTTATAGGTATGATCTCAGGAGCTCTCAAATTAATAGTGAAATAGGAATTCACAATAGAAAGCTAGATAAGTTAGCAAAAAAATTTTCTCATATTGGTGTAATTAAAGTGGATAATAGTAGACAACAGTATACTACACATGGACAGCACTTAAATGGATTGGGCAAAGAGTTACTGTCTAGCCACCATCTTCTTCATATATATTCAATCTTGGGAAAAGAAAGTGATTCTGTAATAGTTCTCACATGGGGAGATAATTATTCCCAAGTTAAGTCTCTAGCTGCTAATCCTAACAATCAGTGTATGAGGGCCAATGGTAGCATTCGAAAGGAGTTAATTAGTAATCCTTGCCTAGGCAAAGGTTGCATGGCCAATGGTGCAGTAAATAGTTATACAAAAGTGGATGAATCGAAGATACTGAAAATAAGAACATCCAATAGAACTAAGAAAGCCCCTGTTACAAAAAAAGATTTTTTATGATAAAGCCAACCTTGAAGGTAGTCAGTGAGTCCATGAAACTAAGCAAAGGAACTAAAGATTCGAAGGTTATGTCAACCAATGAATGGTCATCTTATGATAAACTAGGGAAAGAGTCATCGGAAAAATCAGCCAA